ATAAGTAACAACTATTATCAGTTCTGAATTACTATAACAGTTATTCAAGACCAGACATTAAGTGTGAGATTAGTTGATAATTGTATATATAATGCTAATAATGTTAAAAACCCAATAGTATTCAGAGAAAAAGTAGACCAGCTACTAAATGGTTGAAAGCTTTTAATAAAGAAAATAGCAAAGCAAGTTCTAAAACAATGCATCAGGCTAATATTAATATCAAAGAAAAAAGAACTGATGATGTTGGTGTATGTAAATGCTACTTATATTATAAAACAGAACATTATGCTCCTAAATATCTCTATATCAGATAGAGAAGCCAATGCTATTTTAAAAAAAATATTGTATATTGCTTGTAGTTATTATAGTAGAATAAATTGTTATATTGTGGTCTTTCTATTTATAATTACAATAAACAATAAAGTTAAAATTATATATAGTACTGTTATAGTAATTCAGAACTGATAATAGTTGTTACTTATCCAAGTATTTATATATACAGTATAGTTTAAGTATAAAAAATTTCATAAGATGGCTAGTTCATATGAAATTAACAAATATCTTCTTTTTTTTTTTTTTTTTACAAACAATTAATATTTCTTTATCCAATATGTCCTATGTGCACACTGGACATTTTTTATATATATTATTTGATTACTTTTTAATTATATGATAACTCAATTTTTGACTACTTAATATTTAAAATATTCAAATTTTAGTCACTTTATTAAAAGTATTATATTTGCACAACTAAGTATTTATTAATTTGTAATTAATAAAAAAGTTACATTTAAGAGATCTAATTAATTTTTAAATTTATTTTTAGGTTGTAATTTTGTGATGAGGCTCCAGAAGGAAGTTAAATAATGATATTATTAATTGCAGATAAAGGTTTTCGATGTTTTCTATAAGAAGCCAACAACAGAGAACCAGGAAGACAAGGAGGTTTAAAGGGGTGCTATTACTAAAGAATAAGGGTAAGTTTAAGTATGAGACTTTAGTTTTGAAAGTCTTGAAATCCTAGTCTTATTTATATTTTGAGTTTGAGATAAAGCTGTAGAAACTTCAATTTCTTGTGTTGTAAAAGCTTTGATTGCTTGTGCTGTAAAAACTTCAATTGCATATGCTGTAAGAACTTTAATTGCATATGCCGTAGGAACTTCAATTGCATATACTATAGGAATTTCAGTTGCTAGTACCGTACGAACTTCAATTGCCTTTGCTGTAGAAACTTAGATCACTTGGGCTTCAAGAAATTGAACTGGTTGTGCTTCAGAAACTTGAAATACCTGTGCTTCATTAATTTGAATTACTTGGGTTTCAAGAAGATTGACTTCATAATCTAAAAAAAAAAATACAGAATGTATAAATAAAAATTAATTGTTAAAATTATATCAAAATACGTATTTACTTTGTTCTATATTATCAGCATTTTCACCTAATATATCTTCAAAAAAATTATATTCATCTAGATCTAATTCATTTGATGAAAAAAAAATTAACATTGCAGTGTTTAAAATACATTGATCATTGCTAAGTTTACAATAATCTGCCAGGCTTTCATGTGAATAATGTTCTGAGAATAATTGTAAATTAGAATTTGAAAGCTCATTATTTTTTAATAACTGAATTGCAATGCGATAGCATGAATGATTTGTAATTTTTTATCTACTACTGAGATCAATGCCAGTATGTGAGGCAATATCATTCATCATATTTCATAGCCTATAGATGTACTTCTATACCAGCATTCTTTTTAAGGATCTTTAATAATAATAGTTAAATTAATTACTAAAACCAAATAAAGTTTTTTTTAATACCGTATTATATAATGATAAACAAATATATAAACCTTTTTTAGCTTTATATGTTTTATGAAAAAAAGAATCTACTAATATTGAATCAAGTACTTTCGACAAATAGAGAAGAATATTGGCTACTGGTATATATTCATTATTAGACAAATCAGGTGGTATAGGAATATGTCTTGAACCTGACTTCTTATGCTTATGTTAATAAAAGGCACCTCTTTGATTATTTTTTTCTTTATATAATACAAGCTCTAAACCTCTATCACAATGATGTTTAAGATCATTTTTGCATATTCTATATGCATTTCTGCCTTGTAGTTTGCACAATAAACATAGCCAAAAGAAAACTCTATGCAAAAGTAGTTTACTTGTATTATCTTTTATATAAAAGTAATCAAGTATTTGTTTAATTTCTGTTGATGACAACCTATCAGATTGTTTAGTATTTTCTAATTTCTTATTTTGTAAAGTACACATTTTATTATTCAAGATTTGAAGAGCACGAGGAAACTTGTAACGATCAAAGATCTTTATTTGTTGAAGAACACTATGTTCTCTAAGAAATCTATTGATTGTGCTATAACAATTGTAGAAAGATTCAACTTTATAATCAGAATTATCTTCTTTTTTCAACTATGTTATAAATTGACAAAGATAGATTTCAAGTTCTTTAAAAGAATCGATTGATTCAATAGATTTGGATATTCTACAGCTTTTATTAAACTGGTCTAGAGCACAAAGCCAAAGGAAAGTATTTTATTCAGTGTTTGAAACAAGTGAGGCCTTTTGTAATTGAATAATTTCTTCTTGTGTAGAAAGTTGTGAAGCTTGTATGAAACTCATATTAATAAAAGTATATGTAAAAAGGAGTAAACAAAATAAAAAAAAAAGAAAGTGAAAGTAAAAAAAAGGTTAAGTGAAAGAAATTAGTAAGTGAAAGTAAAAGTAAGTTTAAATGATTAAAAAGTGATCAATTAATATATAAACGAAAATGACAGTGCTTACATCAGACATTATAGATAAAAATATTATTAGTTATTATCTACAACCTAACCAATAACAAGTACATATTAATTGAGATATTTTGATTGAGTATAATAGCAACAGATGATAATCAAAGGATTTAAAATAAGCTTATTTAATTTTATTTAATTTGTATTAATTATATATCAATATATAGTAATCAATTTATTTCTTAATTTTTTTTGTTTGATTTTTATATATAGCATTTAGCAGTCAAGATATTTAAAATGAACTGTTTAATTTTCATCTAACTTTATCTTCTTGAGATATTTAAAACACATGATTTACTTCTCATTTAATTGCATTTATTTGTTGTTTGGTTCATAAGTTTAAGTATATAAAATTAGCATTGGGTTAATTAATTTCTTTGATCGAGATATATAAATAAAGATAACTTAAAAATTAGTAATAAGTACCGTTTACTGTACATATATATTATTGTTACACCAATTTATATAAATCATGTGATTTATATATAAGTAACATTCGAGGGGAGACAGTTATCGGTTACACAAATTGCAGATCATTCACGAAAATCTCCGAGAAGTGGATAGCCAA